TCGAATAAACAAAATTTGAAGGAATTTACCAACTCCAGACCAGCTCTTCAAGAGGTTCTGAAGGGAGTACTATACCAGGAAAACTAAAAAATCAGAGACACTTATACGAGAACAAAAAACAACCAAGAAAATGGCTCACTTAATGATAGGATCAGGTACGGAAATATCGATAATTACATTGAATGTCAACGGATTAAATTCTCCAGTTAAGAGACATAGACTGGCTGAATGGATAAGAAAACAGATTCTATTTTTGATATGCAACTGAATCACTGTAGATATCAAGTAAGACTTTCTGAGAAAGATATCCCTTGAAATGAGTTTGAGAAGATAAATGTACCCCCCAAAAACAGCAGGAGCCAGACAGAGGTACAGCAGTGAAATCAGCATTCTATGAGGCTGACCAACACGGGAATGTTCCAGTTCTGTATCCAGAGACTTCACTGACCACACTGGGTGTGTGTGTGTGTGCCCATGATTTGGGGCTGCCTAAAGCTGGGGGTGGATCACAGCAATGAGACCCTGTTGGAAGTGCTGTCTCTTTTCCTCTCTCATGGAACAAGTAAGTAAACTCAAAGTCTGGGCCAGATGGTGGAAGAACAGTAATAATGCAACTAGACTCATGTAGGAAGGTTTCAAGCTTGAGTTCTGGGGCCTCCCAGTATGAGTTAGGCATGTGTGTGTGCCCGTGATCCGGACTGGCTAAGCTGGGAGTGGACTGTACAGTGAAGACCCTATTGTTTGTCGGTGTATCTCTCAGAAGAAACGAACTTTAAAAAATATCTAATAGGTGGTGCAGTGATTAAGGTGCTAGACACTTCTACATGGCTGACCACAGTTCAAGTCCTGGACCTGGTGGCTTGCTTTCTCACTTTCCCCCCCCCTCTCTCTCTCTGTGTGTCTCTCTCTGGTGAAATTAAAATAAATGAATGAATAAAGAATTAAATAATTCTTTAAAAATATCTAACAGTAGTTCTATAGGGCATAAAATATGTATTATTAGTAAGGTTATAAAGAATAATGATACAGAGAACACCCATGTATCTAATTTAAGAAATAAAATATTACCATTATCTTTGAAGAGCATGTTCACTGCCTTTCTTCTGTGTCGCCCAGAGGTAATCTGCTTAAATACTTTGCTTCTTATTACCCTGATTTTCTTTAGTACATATAGCTGTATCATCAAATAGCCCTTGAAAAAATACTACACACTTCTGAAATTTATGTAACTAGAACCATATTGTAATTGTCTTTACATTTTTGTACATTTTTTTCTTTATGATTCATCATGGGAACCAGCAAGTGGCATAGTGGTTAAGGTCCTAAATTCCCACATGGTTGACCGTTGTCTGAGTCCTAGACCCAAAGCCTTTAAACTTACACCGGGCACATGTGCTTGTGTGCCCCAAATCCTGAAAGGATAAGAGATTAAGGTATGGCGGTCATCCTTACAGGGTGATTTCTTGTTTTCTGTCTGTCTGTCTCCTCTTCAGCGAGCACAAGTGCACTACAGCAAAAATCTCTCTTAAAAAAAAAAAAAGATTCATCATGTCCCAGCCCCAATGGTGCAAGTAGGAGTGCTCTGCTGTAAGCTGTATGAGGCCACATGGGAAGCCCATGTTCAGTTCCTGGCCCAATCTAAACGAAATGGGCGTGGTGGTGCATGCCTATGGTCCTAGGTAACTAGGAGGCTGGAGCAGGAGGACTGTGACATGGGAAGATATCTCTGTTACTTTCTTTCCCCTTCTCCCTCCCAATCTCCCATGCTCTCTCTCTCATAATAATAGCACAAAAAGGATTTATCGCATTGTTCTTCATAGCTGCAATGCACTCATCTTCCTACTAAAGATTATGGTGTGAAAAGCTACCATAAATTTATTTATCTATTTTAGTGCTGTGGCATATCACTTGTTTCAAGTTTTCTACTATTTCAGACAATGCTGATGAACATTTTTGTGCATGTCTCTTGGTCTATGTGGGCAAGAGTGCATCTAGGATAAAATACTGAGGTCATACAAAATGTTTCACATGCTGCTTTACATGATAAAGACAAATTATCTTATTTCCTCTCTTATATCTTATGAATTATGTCTTATTAGTTTTTTTTTTTTTTTTTTTTTCTGGGGAGGGTGTTTTTTTTTTATGGGGGGGGGACAAGAACAGTAATAATGCAACTAGACTCATGTAGGAAGGTTTCAAGCTTGAGTTCTGGGGCCTCCCAGTATGAGTTAGGCATGTGTGTGTGCCCGTGATCCGGACTGGCTAAGCTGGGAGTGGACTGTACAGTGAAGACCCTATTGTTTGTCGGTGTATCTCTCAGAAGAAACGAACTTTAAAAAATATCTAATAGGTGGTGCAGTGATTAAGGTGCTAGACACTTCTACATGGCTGACCACAGTTCAAGTCCTGGACCTGGTGGCTTGCTTTCTCACTTTCCCCCCCCCTCTCTCTCTCTGTGTGTCTCTCTCTGGTGAAATTAAAATAAATGAATGAATAAAGAATTAAATAATTCTTTAAAAATATCTAACAGTAGTTCTATAGGGCATAAAATATGTATTATTAGTAAGGTTATAAAGAATAATGATACAGAGAACACCCATGTATCTAATTTAAGAAATAAAATATTACCATTATCTTTGAAGAGCATGTTCACTGCCTTTCTTCTGTGTCGCCCAGAGGTAATCTGCTTAAATACTTTGCTTCTTATTACCCTGATTTTCTTTAGTACATATAGCTGTATCATCAAATAGCCCTTGAAAAAATACTACACACTTCTGAAATTTATGTAACTAGAACCATATTGTAATTGTCTTTACATTTTTGTACATTTTTTTCTTTATGATTCATCATGGGAACCAGCAAGTGGCATAGTGGTTAAGGTCCTAAATTCCCACATGGTTGACCGTTGTCTGAGTCCTAGACCCAAAGCCTTTAAACTTACACCGGGCACATGTGCTTGTGTGCCCCAAATCCTGAAAGGATAAGAGATTAAGGTATGGCGGGCATCCTTACAGGGTGATTTCTTGTTTTCTGTCTGTCTGTCTCCTCTTCAGCGAGCACAAGTGCACTACAGCAAAAATCTCTCTTAAAAAAAAAAAAAGATTCATCATGTCCCAGCCCCAATGGTGCAAGTAGGAGTGCTCTGCTGTAAGCTGTATGAGGCCACATGGGAAGCCCATGTTCAGTTCCTGGCCCAATCTAAACGAAATGGGCGTGGTGGTGCATGCCTATGGTCCTAGGTAACTAGGAGGCTGGAGCAGGAGGACTGTGACATGGGAAGATATCTCTGTTACTTTCTTTCCCCTTCTCCCTCCCAATCTCCCATGCTCTCTCTCTCATAATAATAGCACAAAAAGGATTTATCGCATTGTTCTTCATAGCTGCAATGCACTCATCTTCCTACTAAAGATTATGGTGTGAAAAGCTACCATAAATTTATTTATCTATTTTAGTGCTGTGGCATATCACTTGTTTCAAGTTTTCTACTATTTCAGACAATGCTGATGAACATTTTTGTGCATGTCTCTTGGTCTATGTGGGCAAGAGTGCATCTAGGATAAAATACTGAGGTCATACAAAATGTTTCACATGCTGCTTTACATGATAAAGACAAATTATCTTATTTCCTCTCTTATATCTTATGAATTATGTCTTATTAGTTTTTTTTTTTTTTTTTTCCTGGAGAGGTTGTTTTTGCTATAGGGTGAGTGCACTCGCCGGAAAGACAGAGAGACAGAAAGCGAGAAATCACCCCCTGGGGGGATGGCCATGCCACAATCCCTTCTCCTCCATTCTCCCCTCAGAATCTTAGGCATGTACGCAACAGTGCCCAGCGTGAGTTTAAGCCACCGAGTCTGGGACTAGAACCATAGTTGACAACATAGGAGTCCAGTGACATGTCCACTATGCCAACTGCTAGTCCCTAGTTTTCTAAAGTGATTTTACCAATTTACACATTCTCCAGCAGACTTTACACAATCCATTTTTTCCCCATCACTTGTTATTAACAGATTTTTAAATTCTTTGTCTTATTGAGTTGTGGCAAGCTCAAGAACTTGATAGTTACTAAATCAATTTTAAAAAGAGTAACTTTTCTCAAATAAGAGAAATAAATCTGAAGGAAATAAAAATTACCTGTAGAGTACAATTCATCATCCGTATTATATAGTCGAACTGCTGATGGTCTAATATTGCCCGGTTTTGCTGGACATGCAAACCCAGTTCATCAGTGAGACACTGTCTTGCTGCCTTTCCTTTAAGGGCTCTCAGTGCTGCAGGAAGAGTCTGAGGACAGAAGTGTAAGTGACCAAAAGGTAACACTGGAAAAAATAACTTTCAAATAATCACACTGAAAATCCAAATGCATTCTATAAGCCATTTAACAAAGTTACTGCTAGAATTAAACTCTTAGGGAAGATGAGATCTGCTATTTTTTTTTTTTTTTGAGAGGTTTTTGCTATAGGGCACATGTGCGCACCAGAAAGAGAGAGAGAGACGGAAAGACAGACAGCGAGAAATCACCCCCCAGGGGGGATGGCCATGCTGCAATCCCTTCTCCATTCTCCTCTCGGGATCTTTGGCATGCATGCACAAGTGCCCAGGGTGAGTTTAAGCCACGAGGTCCAGTACTTGAACCGCGATTGACTACATGAGAGTCCAGTGACACAGACAGTATGCCAACTGCTGGTCTTGACGTGATCTGCTATTAAGACCAATAATAGGCAGGCTCTGTGGCTTAGTGGTTCAGGCAGCAGTATCCCACATAGCAGATTTCATGGTTCAAGTTCCAGCTTTGGTGGCTTAAAAAAGATTTAGGGCCTGTATGCATACATGCCTAGAACTCTGACAGGATGGAGAAATAGAAGAGACGTGATTACAGCATCACCACGCTTCACTGGCGGATGCTTTCACCCTCTCCTTTGTTCTCTTTCTCTGTCTCTCCTCTGGCAAATGGATGCACCCTCTAGCAAAACAATAAAAAGATAAAGTAGATTTGTAGTTATTGTTATTTGTAAACTAGCAAGAAAAGTAAGTGCAATTAGTTTACGTGGTTAATTGAAAAAAAAATTAAGTGCCTTAAATATAAAATATAAATAAATAAGAAATATAAAACTTTGATAACCAAGATGGCTATTATTTCAGAACAATAGTTATTTAGACACCTTGTTTTATAATTAGCAAATTCTCTAAGGCGAAAATAGAAGGAAAAGTTAAAATAACAAGGAACACAAATTATTTCATACTTTTAAACTGGTCAGCTACTTAATCATCACTCAGCATGAATTTATGAATGGAAAGTCCTACAATATCTTCTCAACATTTCAATATCATAATAAAGAAAAATGACTCAGAGCACCAAAACCTGTATCTCTCAATGTATGCAGTAATATTTTCACTTTATCACAAGAACATTCATAGGAATGCCTCCTTCAGGTCATCATGGGACTTCTAGCTAATTTGCTTTATATATAGTAATAATAAAGTTCACTTAACTTGGAGAAGTTAGAAAGATAGAACCAAGAAGCAAATAAGAAGGAAAGGGAAAAGATCAAGAGTGAGGAAAAAGGCATAATACTGTTAGAAGCAGGTTAAGAAAGAGAATGTAAAAGCATAAAGCAAGGGAAGCAAAAGAAAATCTTCAACACTTCAATCAAGTGGAAACCCAGAAAACTCAATATATGAAGAAGTATCGGGTCATCTAATACAAGGGTAAAGCCTGTATATGCTTTACCAGCCCTTTGTGATAAAAGCTCAGAACTCTGACAATGCCTCAGTAAGAAAAGCTTACCAATGTTTAGCATGTTTCATTGAAGACACGAAAATGTGCTATAGGGTGACACATTAAAAGTTGAATATCACAGGTCCTATAATCTATTATGTATTCTTTTTTAAAAAGAATTATTTATTTATTTAATACCATTTGTTATTATTATTTTCTAATTTGACCAGACAGAGACAGAGAGAGATAGAGAAAGGGAAAGCAAGAAAACAAGCCGCCAGGTCCAGGACTCGAACAGACAGTCATGTGGGAAAAATCCAGCATCTTTAACCACCACACCACCTGCCAGCCCCTCTGTTATGTATTCTAAACTAGATTCTTTGCAATAAACAAAATTATATTTGAAATGTTAAGTTTCCAAGTGAAATGCCAAAACAGGGTTAAATGAACACTATTTAAAACATTGAGAGAAAAAAAATTAGTTTCAGTATTTCTCTCATGGCTCTATAGATGTGGTCTGCAATTTAAAATTTTAGACACTATTCCTTTGAAATGATCAAAACAATGAAAAGACACTTAATTTAGGAAAGAAACAGAATTAGAGGAGCAATAAGTTAGCAACCTCAACATGTAAGTCTGAAAGGAAAATGATAAATTCTTATGTGGGAAAGATGACATTTTATTACCTTTTCAGTCTCCAAAGTTTTATTTTCAAATATGAATGATATGCAGTTTCTCACAACTTCTAATCTTTGTGCACTGTTGAAAACCGTTGTCACTTTATCCATTATTGAAACTAATAAAGAAATATAGAGAAAACACAAATAAATTAAACCTTTTTGGCAATTATAAAAGCAAGGAGAATATTTCCCAAAAAGTATTTAGATGACCAACACTTAGTTTATTTTTTCTCTTGTTACATGGCATTAAAGGTATTCCATTTTTATCATTTTGATTGTATTTTCTGGTTCTTAAGTGTCAGGTTAGTCAATAAATATTTTCACAGAATAGATTTTATTGAAACACTTAACTCTTACACATCCTCATAAGAGGATAATGACAGAAAAAGAAATTGATGTTTCTAAGATATTACCAGAGAAAAATCACACAGCACAAAATATTACACACTACATATTTGAGAAGGGACTTGAAGGGAAAAAGAGCATAAAGAAAGAGAGCATGGCTAATTTATTGCTATACTGCTTTAGTTAGTCCTGTGAACTTAGAAGCTTTCACCCTATACTATAAGGCTGGAAAATCCTAGTGTATTGCATAGGCTGAAGTTACCTAAATAAATTTAACTTATTAAAAGAATATTAGGGGCCAACCTGCGGCATCGTGGCAAGGTCGCTGGATCCCACATGGCCAACTATGCGGTTTGAGTTTTAGACATTGTGGCTTGAAAAACATACCGTGTATGTGTGTGTGTGTGCCCAAAATCCCAAAGGGAAGGAGAAATGGAGAAGGGATTGTGACATGGCTATTCTCCATGGGAAGTGCTGTCTCACTTTCCCCCTCACTCTCTGGCACATACCCTCTGGCAACATTTTTTTTTTTTTAATGTTCTTAATTGTAAGCTCTAGTGATTCCCACATACGTAGGTTAGTGGCATAGACTGAAATTAAAATCTATCTATATTAGAATAGAAAACTTATAGCTTCTATATTATACCACATCCTTTATTCAGATAGCATTTTAAAGTTATGCTTATGAACTCTTTTTTTTTTTTAATTGGTTATATGGTACATGCACATTCTAGAGAGACAGAGGGGGGGATGAGAAAGCACCTCTCCAGGGGATATGGCCACACCTCAATCCTCTCTTCTCCATTCTCCAATCAGGATTTTGGGTACCCAAGTGCACATGCCCAGCATGTTTTTCAAATCACTGGGTCTAGGACTTGAACCACTTAGTAGGCTATGTGGGATCCAGCTGCCTTAATCACCATTTTTGCAAACTTTTAATTCTAAAATCTATTTGATAGTACTTTAAATTTTCTTTAGGCTGACCTACTAAAACACATATTCTCTTAAAATGAGTCTGCTTACCATTTGGAAATTAGTATTTTATTTAGAGAATACAACTTAGTTCACATCTCAAAACCACCAGGATGCTATACACTTATATATGCACCTAATGCAATCAATGTCACAATCTATTAAGAAAAATAGAAACAGAACTAAAATAAAAACAGGCACTCCTACTATTGGGCTGTTGGGAAAGTCATGGCACATTTTTGCATAGAAAAGCACATCATGACTTTTCTGACAATGCAATATTATAATGGGAGATTTTAACACATCTCCCTCAACAGCCAAAAAGAAAGAAAAATCAGTGAAGGAATGAAGGAAGACAACCTACAGAATAGGAGAAAATATATGCAAATCATATATCTATTAAGGGACTTGTATACAGAATATATAGAGAACTCTTCTAACTTAATAACAAGACAAATAGCCTAATTTAAAAATGGGAAGACATTTTTTTCTAGAGAAGAGATGCAGATACACAAAAAGAGGTTCAGCATCATTAGTGGCTGTGGAGAAATAAGAAGCTTAATACATTACTGGTGGAAATGCAAAACGGCCAAACTCTGGAAAATAGTTCTCAAAATTCCTCATGTAGAATTCCTACATGACTCAGCAATTACACTCTGAGGTACATGCCTGAAAAAACTGAAAACATATGTCTACACAAAAACTTGTCCAAGAATACTCACAGCAGCATTACTCATAAGAGTCAAAAGGCAGCATCAACTCAAATGTTAATAAGTTGATGAATTGTTAACAAAGTGTGATAAACAGTTGATCCTCCATATTTGAGGTTCTACTTCTGTAGATTCAACCAATTGTGGAACAGAAATGTTAGGTTGTGGATGATGAGTGCTATGTAATTAGGGCTATTACTGCTGCATTTGTACTGAACATGTAACTTTGTTCTTGTCATTATTTCCTAAACAATACAGTATAACTATTTATATAGCATTTTCATTGTATCAGTTATTATAATTTATCTAGAGATAATTTTAAAGTACACAGAAGAATGCATGTGAGTTCTATGCAAATCCTATGCCTTTTTACAAAAGGAACTTATGTAAATTTTAGTATCCCTGGTGGTCCTGCTACCAATCCCACTCAAGACAGTGAGGGACAACTATACAGTCGTGCATCACTTAACAATGGGGAAGCATTCTAATAAATATGTTGTCAGGTGATTTCATTGTTGTACACACATCCTAAGAGTGGACTTACACAAACATAAGTGGTTTAGCCTCCAATGGACTTAGGCTACATGGTATATGCTATTGTTACACCATGGTATATGCACTGATGGAAATGTCATCACCACAGTGCATGATGGTATATACATGCAGTGGAATATTATTCAGCCATTAAAAATGAAATGTTGATATATGGTACAACATGGATAAATCTTGAATATAAGACTTTACATAAATGGAATTTTACAATACGTGACAAAGGTTATATAATTCTGTTTATATAAAAAAATCTTTTTTTTTTGAGAAGTTTTTGCTATAGGGTGCATGCGCTTGCCAGAAAGACAGAGAGAGAGAGAGAGAGAGAGAGAGAGAGAGAGAGA